AAAAAAAAAAAAAAAAAAAAAAAAAGAGAGAAAGAGGAATCATTAACATCTTGCTGGACTTCGAACGGAACTTCTCTCGATCCATTTCTCCCGAATCAAAGTTCTCGATCGACGCGCGAAGAGAGATGCGCAACGCGAACGGCAAAAGGGAAACGTGTCGACGCGATCCAACAATGAGAGGAGGCTTGTGCACGACACGATTCTAGGACAAACGGTCACGAGAGCGCGACGGATCTCGAGTGTGGTGTACAAGAACGGGTGTTCCTGTCGGAGATCAAAATCAAGTTGGCCGAGTGCCTGGCCACCCGCTAGGGGGGTGGGTGTGACCGAGGGCGACGAATAACCCGGCCAAAGGGGAAATGAACACGCGAATACCACCCAGACCGCTGACGAATATCTCTAATTTCCGTCTGCTTTGTTGCCGGGCCTCTTGACCCATTAAATAATCGGGATTACACTCCTGGGACGGTGGCACTATTCATTTTCCGCCTCATTTTTGCTCAACAGACGATGGCCCTAATCAACGAACGAAGTATAAATTTTAACGGTTTTAAAAAAAATGGAATAACTTTTCCTGGACTCGAATTACTTTGGACTCGAGAAGTGTAATGGATATACAGTTTATTATAATTTGGAGAAAGAAAATGATCTTGCAATCTTTTCATCCTGTTGTCAAACTTGAATGATTGGAAAGATGTAAAATGAAAAAGAAACATAAATATGTCGTCGCAAAATGACACGAATAGGGTTAAACAATCCTTAATTATTTTCCTACGATACTAACGATACTTTGTTCATTTATGACACGATAAAAGATTCCTCCAAACTCGTTCACGCAACTATTCTTCCACATATCGATTTCCCATCTTGCCGACAATCTTCACGATCGCTTACAAATAACTCTCCAACTCCCGATAACGAACAACCTTCCCAATCTCCGAGGTACTTTCCACCTTCGATACGATTTGTTTCACCCTTATCCATCCGTCCATTCCTCGAATCCTCCAACTTGGATCCCAACTCGATCCGACCTTCGTCACGCTCCTGTTAAACTTTCCTCCCCCGACAGGGTGCCGTTAATTTACTTTGCATCCCCGATTAACTTTATTAACTCTGTCGGTGACATATCAATTTATTCTACAAGCGCGTAACGCGCAGTTAGGGGGCAGGCTAACTGTCAGCAGCTCTCTTATTTTATTTACGCGGCGGGTTGTCAGCAGTGGCGAGGCAGAGCAGAAAGAAGAAGGAGAAGAAGAAGAAGAAGAAGAAGGAGGAGGAGAAGAAGAAGAAGAAGAAGAAGAAGAAGAAGAAGAAGGAGATGACGAGGAGCAGAGGTTCTCTTTTTAGGGAGAAAGAAGAGGAGGAGGAGGAGGAGGAGAGAATGTGGAAGACGCAAGATGGAGTTGGAATGGATGGAATGACATGGGTTAGCAGAATCGTACGTGCGCCAATGTTACGCGCGCTCGCGCCTGTTGACATCCAATTATTATACTTCCTCTTCGCTCCAGTCTTCTTCTTCTTAGGGGTTCCCTGTCGGCGCTGGTTAGGTCTATTTCTAATGCTCCTTGCGTGATCGCGAATTCCTCTGGGATTGAGCTATGCGCCGAGTCGGTTGCCGTTCTTTCTCCTCGTCGATGATGATGATGATGATGATGATGATGATGATGATGATGATGATGATAATGATGATGATGGGTAATAATTTAGATTAACGATGAAAGTAGTGTGATGGAAGTAGCGTGTACGAATGGAAGAGTGATCTGAGATCTTATGAAACTTAAATTTTATTATTTTTAAAGAGTGTTGATCTTTCAATTTCTTTTTTCTTTTTTTTTGGTAATTTTATTATAGATAAATTTTTGCAGAGAACTGTATTCGAAAATAACGCGAGAATTATAAATATGTATTTATGAAAAGTTTTAAAGCGCCATTTCTTTTTTTCGATAACATTCAGTACAATTTGAACAATTCGAACGATATTTATTTAAGAAACAAAAGAACACTGGAGATAGAACGAGGTTATAATCTCGTAATTAATCTACTTGATATAATATACATTAAGACTCGGTCATTTAAATTTCCAGCGATTCAAATGAATCCAAGCATACGGGATTATCTTAAAGAATGCTTAAAGAAAAGGGTTAATAAATAAAACAAGATTAACTGACTTAACGTATTTGGCTCTGTTTAATTATCGCATTACTGCCACTGCTTTGTGCCAAGTTACCGTTTTTCCTTTGCT